GAGAACAGGTTTTAGTTGTTATTGCTCTTATTGGGAGTAGTAACAGCTTCACGTTCTGGTTGGTGCTCCGTGAATGCCGCAATACTGATGCACTCCGTAAAGTAACATATTTTCGCCAGAAAAAAAACCAAAAGTGAACTCTACAGCGGTCTAGTAGAGGGAGATTCCTTCCACTGGACGCAAGTTAGTTTCTAGGGGGGCATGAAACTAGTCGGAAATTTTCCGATTATGCCAGTCGGGAGAGTTAGTAGACATGGGACTCAACAGATGAGGAACGTGTCTCAAATCCATGTTGATATATTCTTTGAACCGTCTCGTCTCGAGCACAGCGGAGCGAAGCGTTCCACGATGTGCATCATTTCTTTTCGTTACATAAATGTGGCGTTCAGACGGGTTAGGAGTAATTCCATCAGCTGTGGTGACCGCACCGGCCTCCTACGCGTCGGGTAGAATGAAGTTCTCATTAACATGGGAGGACGTGAAGGATCTCTACAGTGGTGACAAGCAAGAAGCGAAGAAAGCCATTCAGAAACAGTTCGTTGATGTGGGTATCTTGCAATCTTATCGAATCTTGCATTTCCTCAAATATTTTTTAGGCGGTGTCGTCATCGCTCCATATCGACTCATCTAGAGTTCGGGTCAGGAGGATTGTTGTATAGTCGTACGCTGTTGTTGTTGTCGTTTCTGTTACTATTTCGATACAGTGTGACTCTCTCACCCGTTTATTCGAGCAGTTGAAGGAGTTGTTGAGTTCTGTTGTAGTTCACGAGAAACGTGAAGCTGTCGAACATTTTCGAGAGGCTTTCAGACATCTCGTCACGAGATCTTGGATAGATTCAACTCCAGAGAGCTCATAACAAGAGCATCAAACAAAAGAGTTTGTGGGGGTTCCTTATTGGTAAGGGATGACGCTGATGCGGATAGTCGCATAGCCTCGCTAGCAAATCAGACTGCGATAATATACTCGTGAAGCAGGCCGACCCTCTCCGCGCGCCGTTTATCATGGCATGGTCAACTCTTTATTCTATTCCAATCTTACCATGCCTGGGAGCGAGTACCAAAAAAGGTGTAAACACGCAGTCAGACGGTGTGAGTGACTTTAGTCGGTGACATGCTGACACGAGTTCGGAGGACCACCCTCTGCCGTTCTAGTCCAGTTCATCCCGGAGTTCGGGAAGACTGGCGCCGGGAAGCAGCCTGCGCAGGTCTCGTCTGCATGCTAGAGTCGTTCCCAAGTCATGAAACACCTTCTCCCAGGCTGGAAGTGTTAGTTGAGCCTTCCCAGCACTGAGGAACGCGAAACGGAGGGGAGAGTGGAGATTAGAACAAAACGAACTTGAGCTCGACGGCTACGGCTCAACACGGACTCATGCGTGCACACTATCACTAACTCATTATTAATTGCTTGTATACCACGCATATACCAATTTCCATGCTCGTTATAGAAGCTTATATACGAACCAGAATAGGGATGATCGGAAACCAACGCGATTTCTTATAGTTTCCATATTGTCACCAACACATGTAGTTGACCATGTGCGCACTTCCCCCCACTGCCCTGTCTCCCTCGATTCACATCCTTCAGAGCATACCCTTGCTTGATGAGCTCTTTCATCCTTGTGATTTTCTCATCAGGATCATTGTGAAATGTTATTATGATTCTTCCTGTCCGGAAGTAGCGTAGCATATGGTTGCAATTCTAATCGTTCTTCCTCACCTTTTCTTGAGTGATGAAATTTGCTCGGAACAGTCTTCCAAGGGAGGTGGCATCTCATCGTTCAAAGTGTTCATCACTCACGAACTGACCATATTCATTGATGAACGTAAGGCAGCGATTTAAAAGATGAAATCTCCTGATGTGTCGAATCTTAGATACCGAATCCGCAGCAAATCGTCGATTCAGAGTTATCCAGAGATGAAGTCGGAGCAGCATCCCGAGTAAGGGGATGAAAGCTGGCCGTTTGATTGAGTTGTGTCGGAATATGAAGAAGAGAGGGTGGCTGGTTGGACAGGCCGGAATATCAAATGTCAGCAACAGCCATCGCAAGATGGACACTGCACGAGTATATGCCAGCACCATGCGGGGATAAACATAAATACCTCGCAGTATACGCACAGAGAACAAGTGGATGAAGCGCCAAGCTTATTGTTGGTGATTGTCAAGTTTTGCTTGAGGTCAAATTCGGAGACCTGACCAGCATTGTAGGCCTGCTCTTCCATCATCATGCCAGAGATGGTCTTCCCAGTATCATCCACGTAGACATCGCCGTGAACGAACCCCAAAATGAGCAGGATACTCAGAATGAAGAGAAGCTTCATATGAACTTGAGTAAGGACACGCACGTAATGCCCTGAATGCTTGAAAAATACAGACAATGTCAGCATAACATCGCCAGGTTGCTCGAGTTGTCTTCCACATTGTGCGACCTAGACAAATTTTGCGCACACAGAGGAATCTGTCCTCACTTCACTGATCAATATGTGAACGTCACTCCTAAGCATAATGTCAGGAACTATCGAGATATTGTGCAACTCGACACTTGTAGCCGATGTGACGTGAAAGAAAGAATAGTTTTTTCTGGGCGGTTGGTCTGGTTTAAGCTACGGGAAGATCGATCAATTCACGTGTGCAGGCCAACTTGCACACAACCCGTCACCTTCTGCCGGTCTGTGCGTCACCTTCACGCACAAATCACAGCAACCTGACGAAATGGTCATCCTTCCCAGATGACTGAGCCAAAGGAAATTGATTTGTCACAGAAATAGCTGATGATGATATCAGATAACCATGCTATCTATGGATGTAAAAAAGCATGCATAGAGAGCATGAGGAGACATTGTCTCCGAGACAATGATGTACACGATACTCGTGACACGATGCAGCGAGGCTGGCAAAATCGGAAATCTGAAAAGTTTTCCGATATGTCTAAGACCTAAGGTCCTTAGGTCTTTGCTTTTCAGTGAAAACCGAATACTTAGGGTCGCAGATCATCGAGAGTTCGAAAGAGAGGTCAAAGGAGAGACTCCTCCTTGAGTTCGGATATTCCAACATCAAAACCCTGACCCTATACCGTTACAACTTGTAACGGTTGTAACTTACAACGTCATTGTTCGCGTGCGGGTGTTGTGGGTCCAGTTTGCCTGCACCCTTGTTATCTCATCAAACCTTCGCCTTCCTATTTATAGCGAATGAGCCCAATATCGATTACTGTGCTGCTGATAAGTGTGTGTATTCGTACAGAACTTAAGTGCAGGTAGTGCGCTTATTGTTATTGTCCTAGGATCGTAGTATTGGCTGCTCTAGCTCGAGTTTCCTTGTTGTGTTGTTCTTAGAGTTATCAACTGACACCGCGACACGGGTTATTTCACGCAACTAGCGCCAGAGAGACAACTGTGGATGTCCCGGATATCATGTCCGATGCCTCCTGTGATTCCTTTGTGTCAACACGACTCGACATTAGCTGGAGAGATGTCACCCAAACGTACACTGCGATCTTGAGCCAAGATGGCTACGCGCTCAGGAGCTAATAGGGTTCAATGCTCATGATCAATAGTATAGAATGTATCCTATGCTCACGCTCTCGTACGCAAGCACAAGGAGAATGTCTGCGCGCATGTACAGGAAGGGGCGTCAGACGCCCTCTGCCGCACAGACTGGTCGCTGAGCTGTCAGCTCAGCTGAGTCAGCTTGCACGCTAACGCACAATGCTTGAGCCCTGTGTTGGTTGAGGCTGACGGAAATACCCTGTGAGGTGGGCTGTTATTCTTCCTACTCGATGCTTCCTTATTTCGTAATTTTGCTGTCGGTGCTTCTTGCACTGTTGATGGTATGCGGAGAGCAATATCTCTGCATACTCTGTTTCTGCGCACTTCCAGCAGCTATGATAGAATCGATCAAGTTGGAGCGCACAAAGGCTGTGACACAGTTGTCGGCAATATTGGTATTTCTAATCTCGATCTCTCTTGATGTAGTGCAATGTTACGTCACGAGTATCAGTGCGTCTTTCACTCATTTTTATGACATCTCCTCTTGCGTCTACTAGTCAAAGAGCAACTCGAGCTTCTGCACGTACCCTAAGTCAGCCCTCCCGTACTCACACTGCTTCTTCCTCGAACGTCACCGATATTACGGACGGAGGGATCCGGCATTCAATGTCAAACATAATCTGTGACCTGCATTTACTGCTAATGGGGCATCGGTCAAGGTGAGAGGCTCGATGAGAGCCTTTTGATTAGATCATTTGACTTCGTCAACTTGACAGCCAACAGTTGTTTCCAGCCTGGAAATTCCCGGTGAGTCTGTCCGAATGAGGCTGTAACCCAGTAGGATTTGGTATCC